CCCCCCCCCCCCCCTTGTTTCCTGCTGGGTTGAAACGGATTGGAGCACATCCATGGTTTCTCAGTATAACCAAACTAGAGTTTGGGAATTTTTATGGCTTGGCTGGCAATGTTGAGTGTTGTTTTTTTTTTTTTCCCCCTTCTGTGCTTGACTCTGCTTGCAAGCAATGAGGAATGACAGGAGAGCACATAGGGAGGGTTTCTTGGCTGATTGCATTTAAGCCAGGAATTCACTGTGAAAATAAAGCCAAGGGGCGATAAATAAAAGATGCAATCTTCTCTAGGAGACAGACACACAGCGTGGGCTTTGCCTGCTTTCATCAGTGAAGAGGCCTGGGTGAGTTGTAAAAGAAAATAGTAACTTTTTGAATAGTCCCCAAAGGGGAAGGAGGCCACTGAATGGAGTTGGCAGTAGTTGATATGAAGTCGTATGATGCTGTTTGCATAGCTTGAAGAGTTGACCACCCTTTCGGAAACACTTACATACGTGCTAAACAAGTGCTGTACAAATTGTGGAAAATATTCTTTTCTCCCCTCTGAGTTGTGCCATTTTCCTTAACTTCCAAGTTGTATTACTTGTTGTGCCAGTCAGCTTATGAGATGGAAGGCTGTTAAATGCCTGGCAGCTGGCTCTGTGAGATAGAAAACTCAGGACCAGGATTTCTTTTCCTTGATGAAGAACAGAGAGAATGGCTAGATTAACCATCTAACTTAGCTTTAAGTGGTGGTTTGAATTGGTATACTAACACAAGAGGCTTATTTTGTAATTTTTCGATTTGAGGTAGAAGTCATTTTTGCTTCAGAATGTGACATGGAAAATAACACCATATACCATGATAGAACCATAAGCAATATTCTGGTATTTCAAAATTACAAGTTTGTTTGTACAGGAAGTATTCACTGACTTTTGTAGAGATGACTAAATTATAGATGCAGCAGGGAAAATCTAGTTGTTTGACACTGTTGAAGATTTTTTAAGTATTGAGGGTCAATGAATTGGGACTTCCCAGAAATTAAACATGTTTATTAGTTATTTTTAAACTCCTATTTTAAGAAGAAATTTAAAGGGAAAAAAATTAAGTCTTTGATGTAGTAGTTGTAAATGGTATTTAATTGGTGCAGAACTGTCCATCAGTTAATTACTGGAAGTTTTGGAGAAAGTGTAGTTCGCTAATTTTTTATTGATTGATATTATATCAAGAGAGAGTCATTGCTGAAGGTGCTTGTATGTAAATATTATCGACATCACTGAAGTAATAATTTAGAAGGCATGTAAAAAAATTTCCCCAAAGTTTTGCCTGGGAAAGAGAGCTTTCTTATTATGACCTGGAACTCAAATTTTAAGGACAAATAACTTGAATTAAAAGACAGACAAATTTAATTGGATTAAAGAACCTAAAAATTTCTGGAAGACTGAAAACGTGATAAATGAAGTTAAGCAGCTAACTGGGGCAAATATTTGCAGCATGTTGGAGGCTAACGAGAACTCTGAAAAATTAGTTTAAAAAATAAAAGGGAGAGATGAATAATTTAGTTAAAACACGGGCAACACATTTCACAAAGAAATGTAAATGATCAATTTGTCTTCACTCTTGTTGTTAGTAAAGGTGACAGGCCACGTTCTTCTGCCACATCGGTGAAGACAAAAAAGATGGGTAGATAGTACGCAGAATTGGCTGAGGAGGTGGGAGAAGATGCTGCCTCCCTGGTTCCTTGGCTCTGACTTTTTATGTCATTTCTAGGAATTTACTTTCTACGTTCATTGATATTCATGCACAAAGATGTTCTGTACGTTGAGCAATGCTCATTGCAGTATCTGTAATACTGAAAAGCTGGAGTCTGTGGAAATTTCCATCTGAAGGGAACTGGTTAAGAAGTACTCTATGGAATTCTACGCAACCGTGAAAAACAGAGAGAGAGATAAATATATATACTGATAAGAAAAGGTGATCAGAGTATTTTATTTAAAAACAAGTCAGCTCTTCATACAGTAGTCTGTAATTTCTGTTTAAAACAAAAAAGATAGACTTACAGATGCATAAAAATTTCTAGAAGGCTACACAAGCAACCAATGAATAGTGGTTATTTTTGGAAAAGGGCAGTCAAGTGGATGGGTGTACTTTTGGGGGGGGTTACTTTTCATTTTATGATTGTCTTATGGTTGGATTTTTCTAAGATCAGAAGCGCTCATTTTTGTAATTAAAAAGTCTTAGAAAAATTATCTTGTGTTTTTCAATTTTTTGTTTGTTTTGCGGTGTGTGTGTGTGTCCTCTTTCGGAAAATTGGTATACATTTGATTTTGTATTGAAACAAACAAGTTTGCTTAATTTGTGACTAATCAGTTTAAAATAAGTATTTAAACAAAACTGGGATCTTGCCTTTAGTATGGGCAGGAAGAAGATAAATTTTAAAAGGAGTTGCTTTTTTTTTTGTTTGTTCTGTTTTGCTGGTTACTTTTGGGAGAAAAGAATATTGCCCGGAATTCTGTTAACACTTTGGTAAACATTTTTTTATGGACTTTTTAGATTCATAACTTAAAATTTCTTGTTTTAGGGAGTGGCAAGGCAGTAAAAGGGAATCTGTTTTAGAATTAGGTTGCATAAAATTTTTAGTCACTTTATTTAAGGCTAATTTGTGGGCATTTCTTTGAGTGTTTTGGTTTTCTTTATAGACCAGAGATTGTTACATGAAAGTATGATTCTGGGTACACTTTTAGAATGGGATGTTTTGTTTACTGTTGATAGTATATTTCATTGGAAGCATTTTCAGGAGGGAAGTGATGATATAGAACATTTAAAAATCAGATCCTATGTTTTCTTCCTTTTGATTAATGAAAAAGTACACAAAAGAAAGTTTGAAACTAGTTGCATATGTCTTCTTTTATTCTGTGCCAGTTAAAATGTTTGATTTGCTTACAATTGATTTTTGAAAGTATCTGAGTACTTAGTATGTGCTCAGCATTGTTCTGAGGAAGGTTAAAATTTCAATTTTTTCAATTATATGTGGGGAAATCTTGGAATTTCCATCTCTGGTGGCTAGTATTGGTCCAGTGAGGAAATCTAAAGTGTTCAGGAAACAACAA